TCCACCGGACAAAGCACGACATAGCAACGATAAGACGTAGTTGACCAATCACGCCTCGCCATTTAACCCATATGTCATCCATTTCCACCCGACAAACACAAAATTTCAACAATCAGGCTGCTGAAAAGCTCTCTCCAATGCGTGCGTCGTTTGTGCCCGTCTTCTCCACGGCGAACTTTTCACCGGACTCCTGTCTCAGTGCCTCAGCTCATGTCTTTGCACTCACATATAAATGCGTCCGTCGTCTTCGCCCGGTTCAAACGCTCGTCGCCGTTGTCGGCCGTGTAAACGGCCGCCCGTCGCGTCACACCGCAGACTGCTGAGTCACGCCCGACACCACTCACAGCGCAGCGTTGCCATTTTCGGTGGGCATTAACTAAAATGCAAGGGAGAATATTCATTCAGTGGTGTTAATAATATTTAGACGGTTCCATTTGGCAATGCGGCAAGGAAGCGCGACGATGACGCCGGAAAACGTTGATCTTATGCGACGCGCGGGTAAATGACCGAGTCGCCTGTCGCGTCGTCGAATCGGTTTTTGGCGCCGACGTCAAATTGACGTCAAAATTAGAAAACCCAAAAGTTATCCTCTCCATAAGTGGAATTTATGTCTGCTTCGATGTGACTCGTGAACAGAGAATCCCCTGCAGTAACACTGAAAAAAAGATTGGTAGAATGTGTATTTTACACAGCGTGAATGAATGGTAAATTCTGCCGATCCTCAAGTCGATTCTGCCAGAGTAATGGTTACCAGTACCAGTACATAGTACCGTCTACCTTTCTTTTGGCAGAATTGACTCTAAATTAACGCTGTGTGAAATACAGCGTGAGGGAATGGTAAATTCTACCAATCTTTTTTTTCAGTGAACGATTCTAGCAATTTGATAGGGTGAGGCGAAATTACACCGAAAAAAGAGGTAGGGGTTGTTCGACGATATGACCATTTCCAAATAATTATGGTAGTATCCCAATAAATTAGGTTACTATCCCAAATGTCGCGGTACAATCCCAACCTGCATTGCTATACTTCTAAAATTAATTGGAAATGTTCATACTTTCTTAACAATTAGGGGTAATACCATAATTAAGGAATAACTCTGCATTTTTTCCGTATAAAGTTGTTGGCCAACGCTTTTCCCTGAATGATGGCTGATGACCAATTTGATGAGCATTAAATCAAATAAAATTCGGCCAATGATGGCTGATGGATGTCAAGATGAGCACCTTGTCAGGGAAGTTTTTTCAAATTAGGTTAGGTGTGCAAAATCGATTACTCAATTCGTTGATCATCATTCATCAGTCATCATTAGCCGAATCTGAGCATGACTTTTATAAGTAACTTTTTCTCCATTGGGAAGAGGGAAAGAGAGTAACGCGGAGTCTGTAACATATATTATCCGTGATCATTACTTATGACTTTGCTGAGATTTAAAATTATGTATTCGATCGCGAAAAACGAACTTAATCTACCCATAGTTTTAGAAGAGCTGTTTGCGTACTTTCTCCGGGATATTCACCTCTTTCATGCTTCTTTCCCGGCACGAAGGAACTTCACTCCAAGGCTGCAAAATTGACTCAAACAATTAATTTCCTCATGAGAATAAACCTGCATAATTTTCGCCGAAAATTCGTCAACTTTTTTAATGAGATCAGAAGGAAAATTAGTGAAACATTCAGCCAGGAATTTCCAAGATTTTCCTGATAAAAATGCAATTAGAGAGGGAAAATTGGCAAAATTGAAATTTAGTTACATACTTTCGTGGAGGAATCGACGCTTTGACTCACAACACATCCGCACAAGAAACCTAAGGTTCGTCCGATAATTCTAATATATCATAGTTCCATGCAGTCAAACCTTATCGGCATTCGAATAGAAATTACATTCTAACAAGCTCTCTCAGGTGTGATTACGTCTGTTTACCAGTGGTGACCGTGCTTTTCGATTTATCGATTGATTTGCCATTTAAACCTATGTAATAGGCTCGATAACGAGAAATGAAACAATCGATTCTTTACCACAGCTTCAAATGGAGAATTATCGATTATCGAGCATTCACCCCTCGCCACTGCTGTTTACTATAAGAATGCGAGGAACATCTGCAAAAAAGATCGGTGAGGCTCTTCCTATGCGCCAAAATGATACAATCTCTCTATCATCGTTCCACGTTCCATGTCGGAGGCTTATCCGTTCGTTAATAAGCTACTCAGAAGATTTACGGCCCACGCACACCTGCAAACGGCGTGTCATAGCATAGCCAATGGGTCGTTGATTTTGATCAATCGATGCCTTCTACGACGGCCACGTTTTCATTGCTATGCAAAGTGCGTTCGAAGGTGTGTACAGGTCTTTACTGCCGTGCTAAGGAAGAGCGCCGTATGAGTATTCGAACGTTGCCAAATTGCCTCCTAAGAAAATTCTAATTATAAGGATAGCTCATCGACTCCTAGATAAAGGAATGTAACTAAATTCCAAGGTTGTAAATTGGACTCAAACCGCACTCAGTTTACACACAAAAATAATTGTGTGATTCCTGTCGACAAATTTGCGGATTTTAGCGTTTACACGGCAAAAAAGTAAGTTACCGTTAGAAAAGCCCAACAATTTCCAAGTAATTATACAGTCAACGAGTGTACATTTTGTAACGTCGAAATGTAGATGGGTTCCTCCGTCTAGGAAACGGCAAGTTTATGATATAGCTTGTCTATGAATTTTTCAGTTTCTCTGCAGCAGGAAATACTTCAACGCATGTGGAAAACTAAATCACTCGGTCCAAGTAACCGGAGTTTCGATTTTAGGAACTTCAAATAACTGAACTTTTTACTAGTCATCCCGATAGTCGTATTTTTCTCCGAAGGCTTCGGTTATTCGATAACGAAAGTTCGGTTACCTTGACCAAAATTTCATGAACCAGAACCGAAGACTTTGGTGCTCCCTAGAACTGCAAAATTCAATCCTCGTATTCAAAGTTGTTCCTTTTGTTATGGCTTAAATCTCACAATGTGACCAAAAGTGCATTTCATGAAAAATATATATATATGAGTCGCTTTTATAGCGCTCTTTGGCGCTGTGCGACGCCTAATCGCCACAAAGCTCGGTCTTCCCACAGGTCATCAGGGAGTTGACAATCTCTTATCTCATTTAACACCCCCTGTCGCCAACCTCGCACTGGGCGTCCCCTACGTCTCCTCCCAGGAGGAACCCAATCAAGCATCTTTTTTGGCAGCCTCTCTTCCGTCATCCTATTGACATGACCATACCAAACAAGTTGTTTGGTCATGACGTCGAACACGATGTCATTTTCGACTTCCATTATCTGACGCACTCTATCATTACGGACCCGATCTCTCCTAGAAATTCCTGCTGACCTTCTCCAGAAATCCATCTCCGTTGCTCTTAGCATATCCTGTGTCCGTTTCTTCAGCTGCCAAACTTCACATCCGTATGTTAATATACTTTTGACTACAGCGTTGTATATCCTCCTCTTGTTATCTTTGGAAATCCGCTGATCCCAGAGGATTCCATTTAACATCGCTATAGCCTTCCTTGCTAAGGTGTTCCTTTCCCTGATAGCTTGATCCGTCCTTCCATCCTGGGTCAACCGCACTCCCAAGTACTTAAAGTGCTCGCAGCCTTTGATCTGCTGCCCATCCTCCAACTCAATGCTTTGCTGATCACCGCCAAAAGTCATCTTCTCAGATTTGGATATGCTGACTTCCAGACCCCACTTCCGATACTCTTCTACTAGCTTGCGCATCATGTATTCCGCGTCATCTTGATCTTGAGCAACCACCACCTGGTCATCAGCAAAGCACAGAGTAAACAGAGTTTCGAGATCACCCAAGGGGACACCCATACCAGAGCATTTCTTTTTCCATTCTTTTAGCACGCACTCGAGATAAATTTTAAATAATGTTGGCGACAAACAACATCCCTGTTTTAAACCCTTAGTCACATAAAATCCCGCTGACAACCCCCCATGGCACTTAACTTTGGTAAAACTCCCTTTATAAAATCGCTTAACAGCGTCAATCAACCCCCCGTTAAAATTCGATTTTTCCAAGGCCTCCCAAAGTTTCACCAACGGCACGCTGTCATACGCCTTCTGGAGATCCACAAAAATTAAATGCAGTTCCTGAGCTACGGCCATTTTCTTCTCAATGACCTGGACAATAACAAAGAGGTGATCTATCGTAGACCTGCCAGCTCTAAAACCAGCCTGCTCCTCTGCTTCGTGATCCTGCCATTCGTCCTCGATCTTCGCTTTCAGTATCTTCCCGTACACTTTGCTTATTGTCCCGGTCACTGAGAGCCCCCGGTAGTTGTTACAGTCGTCCTTCCTTCCCTTCTTTTTGTAGATGGCCTTGATCCAAGACTCCTTCCACTCCCTTGGTACCTCGTCACCCCTGATGCATTGTTGCATCAGTTTTCTGAGGCACTCAAAGAGCTTGGCAGTCCCGTACTTGACCAACTCGACAGGAATCCCACCAGGACCCGGTGCTTTGTCATTTTGCAGCTCTTTGACCGCTTTAATTATGTCACAAGTGTGGATCTCCAAGTTGTTCATTCTTCCGTTGTCCGTGCTGTTGTCTCGAAACTCTGGGCGCCTTTCCGTCAAAAGATCTTTAAAATGATCCTCCAGTTTTTTAAGTGATATCGGAGAAACGATGTCGCGCTTCATGTCTCTACGCAAACCTTTAATTAACTTCCAGCTCTCAGCACTTTTTCTCCCCCCTAGGTAGGTGTTAATTCTAGAACAGTTGCTTTCCCAAGCTTCATTCTTCTTCCGTGTTATGAGGCTCCTAACTTTAGACTGAGCTTTCCTGTAAGCAACTTTATCTTCAGTCTTTTCTTTATCTTCAGTCTTTCATGAAAAATTCAAAAGAAATATTTCCAAATCTTTCTGGAGTATTTGTATTTTTGAGAAGAAATTTGGCAGCATAGGAACGATTATGGGATTTTTTTTTCATAGCTTGGCCATTTAGGTGTGAAGGAAGCTTACCTAGAGCTTCCCAGTTGTCGTAGTCCTGGCGATTGCCTCTGACGTAGAGCATGTAGTTGAGCACACTGGAGCCCCCGAGCACCTTCCCTCGGGGCCAGTTGCATCGACCGGACTTCATGCCTAAGCAGCCTCGACCTGAAAAAATTTCAGTATATTTTTACTAACTTAAAACAAAATCCGGAAAACCCAATTTTAACAACATGATATAAAATCTGGATACATCAATAGGTTATTTACACACGTCTTAAGGTGATTCGATGGACGCCATATTTTGTGTCAAAGCGGCATGCGATATATCGCATCGATTGGCTCCATTTTTTCAGTTACTTGTCATTTTTCTCCAATTTTGAGATCGCAATTCTGTTGTCAGGAGACTAAACAACTCACTTACCAATTTTAACAAGTATCAAATGCGATATTATCTCTCTGAAAAAACCACACCTATATTACGTTGAATTTGTTTGTCAAAATTTGTAAGTGAATTGTTTAGTCTCCTGACAACAGAATCGCGATCTCAAAATTCGAAAAAAATGACAAGTAGCCGAGAAAATGGAACTAATTGATGCGATACATCGCATGTCGTTCTGACACAAAATATGGCGTCCATCGAATCACCTTAAAGTAGCGTTATGGTAATCTAATATATCGAAAAATAAGCAATTGCTGGCATTTTTTCCCACAAGATGAGGCACTCAAATCGAGTCGCACAGGTGAAACCAAGAAGAAAGTGTGAAGAACTAATGTTGATGCCTGGCTCGTTCGATCACTTCCTCATTTTTGTTTACCTCCTCCGTCAAATATTTAGACAATTTTTTGGAGAGTACACATGAAGTTTTATCAACCTATGTCCACACTTTGGATACGTAGATTGCTTTTTTTTTTAGCTCTCCATGTCATTTGCAGGGAAAGTTTCCTCAAGGCTCTATCTGCTAGATAGCAACCTACGTTATTCGTGTCAATCTAGAAATTCTATCATGACTGATGGAGATTTAAGGAAACTTTTATCAATAGCAGCATGAAAAAGACATATCTTGCGATCCTTAAATTAAATCTAGGGGTGTAATTTTGGAAATCGATCCTTGCAAGAGATTACAAAGATATACAGCTTCAACTATTACAAAATATGGAAGAGAATATATTGTAGATTTTGAATTTTTTAAGGCACATCTGTATCTACCTTAATGTTTGTCAAAATTATATAATTTCATCTTTTGTTTTTGTAATTTTTGCAGCGTCAAATCATTGTAATCCCTTGCAAGGATACATTTCCAAAGTTTTACTCCTGAATTTAACTTATATTTCACAAAAATCGTCCTCTTTACGCTGCTATATTAAATACCTCTTGAAACCTTCCTCAGCCATGACGGAAATAACTACCAGTGGTGTGGCGTGTTTTACGATGAATCGATTGTCCTGCCATTCGAACCTATGGAAGAGGATCGATTATCAGGGCGTTCGCAACGAACACCGTAATCATCGATTCTTTAGTATAGCTTTCAATGGGAAAATATCAATAGTCGATTATCACGCCTTGCGCCACTGGGAACCACACGGTCCTTTCTTAAGGAAAGGAGCTGTTCAAGGAGCGACTTATTGACGATACTTATTTTGCGGTTGCTCACTTTCATTATGTATCATCTTTGGGAATTATTTTTGCTATTATAGGTGGCTTTATTAATTGATTTCCTTTAATTTTAGGATTGACTTTAAACTTATATGTGCTCTGTAGTATATGTAACAATTTAATCAGCCCAAAATATGTAAATGAAATGAGAGGAACACGGGGTACAGGCCGTAAATAAAAGTAATTTTGACGGGACGTTTCGGGGTTGACATTCCCTTTTTCAACCGCCGAAAAAAAAAAAACAAAAAACACAAGTTAAAATTTACACATAAATGAGCCGCCGCTCAACAGCAAGGCAAGACTCCTGTGGATTCCTATAGGATCTCTCTGAAAGGACCTAGACCCAGGCACTGTTATAAATCTTTCAAATGCGCTGGTGCTCCATCCCTGATTTTTCTTCTGTCCGAATTTCAAGAAGCTGCGTTTTAATTACAATTACCTGTAGGTTCGGTCTTGTATCCCCAGTCGAGTTTGGAGAGTTGGAGGTAGGCGGCGAGAGAGGGTACATCTGAGATCTCTGTTTCGTCAGGTCCAGCTTCCAGGAGGAGAACGGTCCAATGGGGGACTTCGGACAAGCGGCTCGCCACCACCGCCCCCGCAGAGCCGCCCCCGATCACGATGAAGTCGTACTCCCGGTTTAGCTGCACCTGGTTCCGCAAACAAAGTCTAATTAGATTCATCGTAAATAACAAAAACAAAAAAGCATGCAAACGACCTCTTCAGAAAATGTATTTTATGCAACTACACAGGGTGAGCCAGGGTTAAGGAGATTCGATGGACGCCATATTTTGTGTCAGAATGACATGCGCTATATCGCATAAATTGGTTCCATTTTTTCAGTTACTGTGGGCTACTGTTAGGAGACTAAAGCACTCACTTACCAATTATAACAAAGAAATTCAACGTAATAAAGGCGTGGTTTTTTTAGAGAGAAAACATCGCATTCGATACTGATATCGAAACTGCACTCGAATGCGATATTTTCTCTCTAAAAAACCACGCCTTTATTACGTTGAATTTCTTTGTTAAAATTGGTATGTGAGTGCTTTAGTCTCCTAACAACAGAATTGCGATCTCAAAATTGGAGAAAACTGACAAGTAGCTGTAAAAATGGAACCAATTGATGCGATAAAGCGCATGCCGTTCTGACATAAAATATGGCGTCCATCGAATCACCTTAAAGTTAAACGGCCAGACTGCAGGAGCCGAAACACCCTCAAATCCCCTCTTAAATTGAGATTTCGATATTTTGAGGACAGTTTACAGATGCGTGTCACGACTTATTGCAAAATGTACAGGAAACTCTGGATTATCCGGATTAATTGGTGCCGGGCCCGATCCGGATGAAAAAAAATCCGGTAATAATAGTAAACACAAACACCACCAACCAACACCACAGTATTCTTATTATGTATACATCATGTACATACCAACACGAATTTAAAAGGTTAACGCCAAATTAAACGACTCAATGGTGATTGTGAATGGTAGCCGACAACGATAAATTACAATACAATGATTAAAGCGCGCAATGCGCGAAGTATTCATACAGTCTTGTGGCTGCTAATGTGCGTTTTAGGCTAACCAACCGACTGCACTGTTGGCGTAATGCGAGAAGTATTCATGTAATCTAGTAGGCGCTAATGCGTTCCACGCCGACCTCACTGTTTGGCGCAATGCGTGAAGTATTCCTTCAGCCTTGCAGGCACCAATATGCCTTGCGACCGCTTCTCCGCGGATCCGCTCACTTATCGGAGTGCGTACGTAGTTACATGGTTGCAAAATCGATCCGGATAATCCAGAGTCCGGATAATACGACGCCGGATAATCCAGAGTCTACTGTAATCGAATTATTTAGACTCTCGATAGTCAAGAGATGATATTTTTATTGTTTACGCTCTAAATTGACTTTACCGCTTTTTCTCAGCCGCCTGCGTTTTTTGCAAAATTGGGTGAGGGGGGGGGAGTCCAGGGGTGCCTGATAGGAGAGAAGGGCGGGGTTACAAATTGAGAATATTGTTGAACGCATTTCAAGTATGACCCTTAATGTATCAAAAGAGGGTCTTGGAGGACAAGGCGAATAAATAGAGTTTTTGCTATTTCGAAAAACTGAAGTTTCGAAATTACATGGATCCATATGGCGGAAAGAACGTTGGAACTGATCTTAAAAATGATAATTTGGTAGCAAATTTTACGGTTTTACTTGAACTCATTATAATATCTCGATTTATTAAAACATTGCACTTATGCGCCTTGTCCTCCAAGCCCCTCATTTATCTTCCCCTAAAAACATGGTATCCGCAAGATGAAAAAAATACTAAAAGCTGATCAGACAGCATACGAACCTGATTTTTGATCCTGCTCTCCGGGTCAAACATGTCGTATCTATAGTAAGCGATGGCTGCTATCAGCAACGGCACCAACCACACGCTCGCGCCAACCAAAGTCACGCCGGCCTTTACCGCTGAGCTCAATGCGATCAAAGCAAATATCATTTTCTTTTGATTCCCTGATCGTAAACAAGGCTCTGCTCGTATTTAACATTATTTATTTTGTTAGACCAAGTGCTGCTTTACCTCTCTTCTGCCCTCGTGCTTCTTTCCGCGCGCATACGTTATCGTCCGAACTTAAAACTAACGTAAACTACCGTCACGCAAACTAACGCAACGTAATCAGGTACTCGGTGACTTAAAAGCTGTGCGACGATGGAACCTATCCACGTCGTTTTGTATCACAGACTCGCGGAATTTATCTCTAAAATCGTTTTAATTCTAAAATTTAAGTCGGCAGTATCTCCGCCTAGTTATTTGGTAACATTCAAGTGATTCGATTAACTAAACCGCACGACACAGCTGTAAATGAGTGTTCGTAGCTTGCTTTTTCCTAACTTTTGCTCGCATCTAGCCGGATGGAAATTATCGTCTGATCAACCAGCCGATTGGATTGATTCTTCTGTTTAACCAGGACACTCTCCTCTAGAGACACTTAGATATAATGGCGAATGAACGATCCCGATTCGATGACGCTTTTCGAGGAAGTCTTTGGTCCCTCGAACCGGATGACTTAATGTTGGCCCCGAGAATAGAATGGCTAAGTGTTGGTTCCTTGAACCGAATAGCTGAGTGTTTGTTCCTTGAGCTGGATGGCTGAATGTTGGTTCCTTGAACCGAATAGCTGAGTGTTAGTTCCTCTAACCGGATGACCGATTTTTGGTCCCTCGGGCCGGATGGCTGAGCAATGGAGGTCCCGTCGCGATCCTAGGCGGTGGAGGTTGGGTGCTCCCGGGCTGGATGGCTCATGGCGTTTTCCCCGGGGAACACTTTCACTGCGAGTGTCACCGCGAGGTGGCGCCACCGGCGGTTGAAGGAGGCACCGGCGTCGCTCCCTGCTGGAGTTTTGGCGATGCGACACCCGGACGCACGACCGACATCGCCGCCGCGATTTGAGGTATCGTCCGGGTGAGGTCACGAGGGGATCGCATCTGTGGTCGATGCTTTGCTGCGTGATCTGAAACAAACGAGAAGGGATTGTCATTAGAAACTGCGCTCTCAAAAATTCACACATTTACGAGGAAGTATGAAGCGCCCGTCCGTATTCCGATTCACCAAAGTTCTTAGAAAAATTCCGATTTTTTAAGAAACTCCGGGGGAAAATTCCGAAATTCACCCGGATTTAGTTCCGTAGATCGTCAAATTTGATCAAATAAAAGGTTAAACTGGCGAAAAACCGCAAATTTCGAGAAAATTCCGAAAATAAATGAAGATATCGGGAAAAGTTCCGATTATTTGAAAAGTTCCTTTCGGACATAATTCCGGGAAACTGCAGCACTGACATACAGGAAAAAAGATTACATTTTTCGGATTGCAAATATTATAAACTGGAGTAGACCGGGAATTTAGGGGCACGTCAGGGAACGAACTGCATGAGGAAAGGAATAGAGGAAAGGAATTCCGGAATGACTGGATCAAAGATTACGAAAATTTCAAACTTTTTAATCTTTTTAATCTCCAGTTTGTGACAACCATGAGCCGATTTGTCTTAACTTTCCCTACGGAGGGCCTCTAACACCCTCTTTAACACAAGTCGGAGGGCTGCACGATCTGACAGGGACAAGACATGCCTGCAGAGTGCGGACTATGCTGCCGTGCTAAGGAAAAACGCCGTACGAACATTCGAGAGTTGTCAAATTTCCTCCAACGAAATGTTTATTTTTGAGGAATGTTATGAATATTTTATCTTGAAATTTTCAGAATATCTAGATCTAATTACAAAGAAAATTCTCTGAAAAATTTAATGGAAAATATTCAGGAGTTTTCGTGAAAACTCGTATTTCATCCAATGAAATTCGGCAACGCCCGAAGGCTCATACGGTGTTTTTCCTTAGCAAGGCAGTACGAACATTCAACAATGAGAGGAGTCTCGGCTATCAAATTCAACCGCAGTTTCGTAACCAGGCTGTAATGCTCGGTGTTCAAGCTCCATTGTTTCCATGATAAGTTCATCGGCGGAGTGTGTAATCCTTGTTCCTATACTGTTTCTTAATCCATGGCACCAGCTTTTAGTTCGTGAACGACCGCTTGCGTGGTGTATTTCTCCTCGGCTTGAAGAGCAAAAGCTCGGAATGGGAAGTTTTTAAAGTGTCATTTGTTTGAAAAGAGACCACAATCCTAATCCAGGACTGCGGATTACGTATGACATAACTGGGGGGTTAGTAGTCACGCTAGTGGTGGGATTAAAAAGTTGGTGACTTTTACACCTTTCCATTTACACCTGTGTTGAGAGCACCTTGCTCCTTAGAGAACAGGTCATTTTTTCCAGTACAACCACTCGCTACCACCAATATGATTGCTACATTTACCCTTTGTCTTCCTTGCCCCTTTTTCTATACTTTCGTCTTTTTAATAATCAGCGCACTGGATTCTCAATGAGTCTCTAAAACCATGAAATAATTTCCCTGGTAAAAATTGGCAGTAGAATCTGTGTTCCAAAATACCTTAGACCTACAGCCGGCTGTAAGATTTCCAATAGCTTCTATAGCCGACTGCACAATTTCTTATAGCCTTTTACAGCCGATGGCGATTAAGCAACAGCCAGGCGATAAAGTGTATGCTAAATGTTACTAATTACGGATGCTAGGACTTAGTGAGTTTTTGGACTACCGCTCTATTTTTGGGCCGTAGTATCTTGATTTATTTTGCTCGGAAAGCTCCGCACTTTTGAAGGATACCTGACATTCCTAATATATTAGAGCGCCTTCAATTTCGTATGATACTGTGCAGTACCTCTGGTGTGAAATAGTTGCTTCAAGCGCCGTGGCAGGAGGGCAGCCAGCGCGAAACACGCATTGGCGCGCCTACAAACCTAACAGGGATACTTCACGCGTTGCGCAATGCGTGAAGGATCCCTGTTAGGTTTGTAGGCGCCAGTGCGTCGCCGGCCGCTCCGATTTGTGTTAGGCTCTAATATTTAATCTGGCGGAGTCAGCGTTATTCAACTCATGATTTTGAAATGTTTGCACATCCTGTATGGATTATTCTTATTTTAATTGATGAAAAAAAATATGTATTAAAGGAAAATATAACGTGTGTTTTGTTAATATTAAGGTGGTTCCGTATCAAACTTAATGATTTCCAAAGCACACGAATTTCTACACAATTTCTTATAGCTTTTTATAATCGATGGCGAAAGAGCAACAGCCAGGCGATAAAGTGTAAAGCCCAGCGATAGGAACTATAACCCGGCTGCATACTTTTTTATCGCTTCGTATACCCCGGCCGTATGATTCTCTCCACATTCTACAGCCAGCTATATGATTTTCTGTAGCCTTCTTTAGCTGGCTGTAAGAATTCCTATGGTATTTTGAAACGCAGCTCTTATCGCCAATTTTTACCCGGGTTTGACTTGCAAGTACATTTTCTGAGGGTAAATGACGCGTAGAACACAACTCGCAGATTGAAAAAAAAAATTAACCCAGAAACCGAGAAATAACGAAGCACAAGTACAACGCAACGTTCAAAAGCGCACATTTCCCGCAAAAAAAACCGCTTCGTTTGCGCGCCAAACCGAATGATGTCATTCGGCACCTATCAGAAGCGAGCATGGGTTTCTAAGACTTCGTCAAATTTCCTTTTACATCTCTTAAATGGAAGGAATAGGAAAGTCGGAAATACATCTTCAGAATTAAATAATCGAATCTCTTTCATGTTATCCAGTCTTTACACGCAACAATTACACATTGAATTCCAAGTTTTATTCCAACAAACATCAGGGGGAAATGAGAGGAGATAACTATTTGACTGCCGTATTACATCCCATCCATCATTTTCCCGCCATTTCTGCGAGTTTTGAATTCCTTTGAGCCTTTTGACTTTTTAAAAGCGGGTTTGCCCGGGATTTTAGCTCCAAAAATACGCAATAATTCACCGCATAAACTACTCACCTGGTACTTTCAGAAAATTAAATAAAAAACACAAGGTTTAGTAACCTATTTCAATAATCAGCCCGCTGGATATTCAATTTATCAACAAGGTCAAGTTGGGTTTCCTAATTTCGTCAACTCCGGTGTAAGAGAGTGCCATTTGCGAGGCGTGAACGATCGATTATCGATTTTTCTCCTCTTGAATCCGTGGTAAAGAATCGATCATTAAGGTGTTCGTTGCAAACACCCTGTCCGTCGATTCTTTTTCATAGGTTTAAATGACAGATCAATCGATATGTCGCAGGCAAATAGTGAAATCAGGCATTTTGTCAAATGCCTAGGCAGATAGTCAAATTTTGACAGTCTACAACATTTTGTGAATTTATGGCGAAGAGCTCACGATTTTTTACTATTTTTAGAAAAATAACTCATCAAACCTATGAAATCTGTTTGTCTCTTCCTCTTCAATTGCCTCTCGTATTTTTAAATGTAGAAATTCCAAAAATCCTGTATTTTACGACATGCTGAAAATTTCAAGATCAGTGTCTCTTCAGGAGCTAAAAATTGTTTAAAACACTATTGCGTGTGGTGCGAATTTTTATTGAGAATTTTTTTTTTTTTTTTTTTTTTTTTTTTTTTTTTTTTTTTTTTTTTTTTTTTTTTT